TCTTCCGATCTAGCTGACCTCGAGAGCTTTTCAAAACACTATAATCAAATGTTTCTTCATTGAATACTATTCGAGTTGTAAAGCTCCAAAATGGCAACTTTGGAGTTTTATAACTCGAAAAGTATTCAATGAAGAAACATTTGATTATAGTGTTTTAGAAAGCTCTCGAGGTCAACTACAAGAATATGTAAAAAAAAATAGGGAATGCCATTTAAAAAAATTGAGGTGACTTTCATGTGACTTTCAAATAGTGACCTTCAAGGTCAAACCAATGGTATCTTATGGTCCCTTCAAAACCAAACAACTTTTGTCTGAAAAATTTTTCTCTCGGGCTTGATTTTCGAGATATTCGACTGAATGGATTAAAATGGTCCACCCTGTATATATATTACGATCGTATAAATTTCAAACACAACGAATAAGATTTCTAAGAAAGGCCAATGCACGGTCATAACAGAATCTTGATGTTTCTAATATTTCTATGTGATTTTATATACGTATTTTAGTTTCAACGAAAATAAATTAAATTATCCGATACCATTTTTATAATAAAAATGAATGTAAGTTGCGATTAGATAATTTTTTTATGTATAATTATGTAGCTATGCAAGTTTGTTTAGATAAATCTTAAGAGCTTACCCAGACAAACTTGCATATCTGCACAATCATATGCATACAGAAAATTAACCAATCGTATTTCTATTATAAAAACGAACATAAAATGCGATTGAATAATTTTTTTTATGTATATGATTATGCAATTATGCAAGTTTGTCTAAATAGGCCCTAAGGCCTGGAGCACATGAAATACAAGTAGTAATAGGGGTACTATGGCCCATCAAAACAAACCTCCACCACGCCTCCTCGGCGCCGGTAAAAAATGCCCCCTCCATGACCCTTTTTGGGATCCTCGGTCCCGGGAGAATTTGGGTCAGACGCTTTTACAGACTGTGATTGGCTACTGCATGGGGAGAGGGTGGAATTAGACGATAAACGAGACGATTTGATTGGGCGGAGCGGTAGCTGCCGAGAAGCTGATTGCCCAGAGCCATAGTTCCCGGTGGCACGAGTCGTTGTAGTAACCAGGGGGAGGGAAAGGAGTTTTCGAAAAATGAAAGAGAGCTATAAAGTAGGGAAGGTGGTGGAAAGCCGACAAAATGGCGTGAGGAAAAGTCAGTTAATTATCTGAAAAAATTTCGACGCATGTGGTTCTCTCGAATTGTCCCCCTGCCTCCTGACCGTTTCTCGATGTTTCTTTTCGTACGTTTTCGGCGACAACGAGCTAATGGCGCATAATACCGTTTGTAGAGAAAGTGGGTGTGTGACTGGAAGGAAAGACAGGAACGTGCAGGTTCACGGATGACGTCAAAGAAAGAGAGATATTTATACGATGTAGAGTAGGAACGGGAAATTTTAGGACGCGGAAAGGCGAGAAAGAAATAAACTAGGGAATAAAGATACAAAATATTTATTGATGAAATGGAGTTATTACATAAAATGAGTATTTCCTTTATATTTTACTGTTCAAACTACAA